TGGAACCAGCATCCTAACTGATTCTAGCGTTTTATTCATTTATTATTTTTTTTTAATTTTTTTTTGTTAACGTTTATTTATTTTTGGGACAGAGAGAGACAGAGCATGAACGGGGGAGGGGCAGAGAGAGAGGGAGACACAGAATCGGAAACAGGCTCCAGGCTCTGAGCCATCAGCCCAGAGCCTGACGCGGGGCTCGAACTCACGGACCGCAAGATCATGACCTGAGCTGAAGTCAGACACTTAACCGACTGCGCCACCCAGGCGCCCCCATTTATTTTTTGATTCATCAGCTACTGAATACCTACTGCATTCCAGGCACTGTTTCAGGTGCTGGTGTTATAATAGTAAACAAGGTCCTCCCAAGCTCTGACCTTGTTGGAACATCCATTCTCCTGGGGAAGGTGGATGGTCGGGAAATCAGTGTTGGGGATAAGAGCCTGGGAGACTGTTGGGGGGAGGGGGGTTGAGGAGAGGAGGGGTAGAGAGGGACAAACAGGGGGAGGGGAGGGGGCCTAAATAAGTTTTGTGGAAATGTTAATGGAGGAGAGACCTGGCCAAAAGGGAGGAAGCCAGCTGTGCGTGTGTTTTGGGAAGGACGTTCCAAGTAAAACTAGAGAGCAAATTCAGAGGCCCCAGGTATGCGGGGATGTGTTGGAGGAGCAGGAAAGAGTGAACTGGACCAGAGTGAACCAGTGGACGGGAAGGGGATGAGGGTCCGGGCCATACGAGCTTGGTTGGCAGACTTGAATTCGATTTGCAGTGAGGGGGGCAGACACGCAGTGCGTTTGGGACTCAAGAGCGATGCGATCTACCATCTTGGTAGGGTTCCTTTGGCCACTGCGTGGGCACCAGGGTGGAAGCAGCGCAGAGGCTGCATCTCTCCAGCTGAGAGATGGTGGTGGTTTGGCCAGAGGTGTGGCCGAATTTAGGACATAATTTGAAGGAAGAGTGGACAGGACTTGGGGTACAGGTGTGGGGTGAGAAGGAGGAGCCAACAGCTCTAAGTTTGGGAGGAAGTAGTACCAGGAACTGCCTGGGGGAGACCTGGAGAGGCTGCGGGTCTGTGAAATGTCCCTGTGGACTGGCCGAGCACGTGGGACGTATGAGTCTGGCATTCAGGGCTAGATCTGAGCTAGAGATACAAACGTGGGAGTCACTGGCATTTTCACAGCGTTAAGGCCCAGGATGAGATTGCTAAGGGTGAGTGGAGGTGGAGAGCAGGGGGCCCATGAGGAGTTAATGCAGTAATCTAGGTAAGAGATCACAGTGGCCTGCACCAGGGCAGGGGCAGGAGTGAGCAGTGCTCTGGAAACATCTGGAAGACAGAGCCCACAGTAGATTGGTCATGGGTGATGATGGAGAGAAATGGACTGGGGCCTGGTGAGGGCAGGATCAAGTCTGAACACGGGGCAGTGACTCTGCTTTCCTCTTTCCCCTGGGCCCTGTGGTCCCCACCTCCCTTTGCATTCTGCAGGCAGCTAGGCTGGCCCAGAGTAGACTCTTGCCCCGACTCTGTGTGACCTTCCAGGGCAGTGCCCTACAGCCCCTCGGGCCCCATTCCAGATTCCCCAGATGAGAATTGAATTGGGGTCCAGTGTCCAACCCAGCTGAACCTGTTGTAGCTGGAAGATTCCTTCTGGGAGGGGTGTGCACTGGGCAGTCACCTTCAGTGTCCACACTCATGGACTGTTTCTGGCGGTCAGTGTATGGAAGGCTGGCATGTGGGCAAGGGGAATAATTTGGTGCTGTTTTGACACCAACACACATCTGTGTGGCCTCAGATGTGCCCTGCCTCAGGTGAATGGGGTTGGGGAGACCATGAAGATGGGAATCTGGCAGGCTCTGGGCTCAGAAGGGGAAGGGTCAGGTTGGGAGAAGTCATGGGGATCTGGTGCAGCTTCTGCCGCCATCAGCATTGACAGTTCCTAGTCAGGGAGACACTCGTCGCTCCTGGGGAGACACACGTCCGCGGCGGCCTCCCCAGAGGAGCCCAGAGGAAGCATGTGACCTGGTCTAAGGTGTCAGGAAGGACTCCCCAGAGTAGAGAACACAGGAGGTGAGATCTGAAGAACCAGATGAAGGGAGCGAGGGATTCTGCTGGGCCAACTCATAGCCAAGTCCACAGCTACTTTAAAATGTTTTTATTTAATAATTTTGGGTTTACAGAAAGATTGCAAAGATAGTACAGAGACTTCCCGTACATCCTACACCCAGCTCCCCCGCACGTTAACATCTTACATAACAATAGTTTTACATTTGTCAAAACCAAGACGTTAACATTGGTTAGTGTTGGATTAACAGAAGTCCGAACTTTATTCATATCCCCCCCGTTTTTCCACTAATGTTCTTTTTCTGTTCCAGGATCCAATCCAGGATACCCCGTTGCATTTACTCGTCCTGTCTCCTTGGTCTCCTCCAATCTGTGACAGTTTCTCAGTCTTTCCCTGTCTTTCATGATCTTGACAGTTTTGAGGCATATTGGTCAGGTATTTTGTAGACTGTCCCTCAGTCTGGTATTTTTCATGTTCTCCCGGTTAGACTATAGGCTGGGGATGAATCCCACTGAGACTCAGGTGACCTCATTTCATGAAGGTGGCATCCACCAGGTATCTTGCCCGCGGTATTACTGTTCTGCCCTTTCCTTACCGTGCATGTGTTAGGAGCAAGTCACAGCATCCAGCGTACTCTCGAAGGGAGGAGAATTAAATTCCGTTTCCTAGAGGGAAAAATGTCAGATATTGTCTTCATATATAAAAACCACCACAGTAATTGATAAATGTGGGAAGATACTTTGAGGCTGTGCAAATGTCCGGTCTCCTCAAAGTTCCTCCCCCTGATTTTGGCATCCGTCAATGGATCTTGCCTGGCACAGTTAATATGGTGGTTGTCTTTTTTTTTTTTTTTTTTTTAAGTAGGCTCAACGCCCAACATGGGGCTTGAACTCGTGACCCTGAGATCAAGAGCTGCACGCTCTACTGACTATGCCAGCCAGGCACCCCTACTGTGGTGTTCTAATGACGCTGCTTTTCTGTTTCCCTCAGTTCTTCCCTGTATTTTATTTGGAGTTCTTCTGTATGAAGATTTGTCCATTCCACCCCATTTATTTTATTTGTACAGTCATTGATTTATATCAGTATGGACTCACGGATATTTTTTGTATTCTTTCGGTATAACCCAATACCATCAAAATTTTTTCACTCAGATTTTTACACGTTTGGCCTAGAGGCCCTGTCAGGTTGGCTCCTGTGTTCTTTACTCCTTTTTTTTTTTCTCACTCAAGCACCTCCTTACTTTCCAGCACTGTAAGGAGCCCCAGGCTTATCTGGCACTTTCCCTGGTCCTTTTGCTGGAGAATGGTAGTAGGAACCAAGGTCTGCGCCCTGGGTGTTTTCATTGCCGGGTGTCACTGCTTCCAGTCGCTCTCAGCTGACAAAGCTAGAAGATGTATGTCTGTATACAAACCGACGGGTACATACACATCTGCATCTCTGAGCGTGTGTGTGCAGGTGGATGTCTGTGTCAATGCTGATGAGTGCACACTGGCCAGCTCTGACTCTACTCTAGCCCTGGAAGGTCCACTCCTGCCTACCCGCCCCCCGCCCCGCCCTTGCTTTCTTTGTAACTTCTTTCTCTGACAATGAGAACCTGGCTCAGTGGGCACCTTTTAGTGCTCATCTTGTTGGCCACTGTGGCAAAAATCAGCAGTGTTGGCCTTTCCTGCCTTCTCTAAGGACACTCTCCCCTTGGTTTCTGTGATGCTGCTGTCCCCTGATTTTTCTCCTCTGTCTTATTTCTTTGCAATAAGTTCCTCTGATTTCACCAATTCCTTAAGTGTTGGGGGCTCTTCTCTCCTCCCAGCCCCTGGGCCATCTTATCCACTTTTATGGTCTGTTTCCTGTCTCTGTGCTGGTGATGCCCATTCTCTGTCCTTAGCCCCAACCTCTACCTTTAGCCCCACGCTTGGGCATCCTGCGGCTTCATAAAGGCCCCTCACCCTCAGCCCTGAGTGACCCCTGGGCCCTTAACACTCAGTGTGTCCCAAATTCCAAACCTTCTCCTCCAGGGGTGGCTCCTCCATATCCCAAGTTTCCACAAAGAACCCTGGGCCTCATCCTTGATGCTTTCCTCCCCAACACATGCGCGCACACGCGCCCAGCCTGACCCATCAGCCTCCATGCCTTGTGCACTAGGCCTCCTAGATACCTCTCCCACCTGCCCTCTTCTCCCCTTTCATGGCCCTGCCTTGGTCTAGCCCCACCTCTCCCACCTCATCTCGCCTGGCCTCCTCCCTGGGCCCCTGGCCTCCTTTTTCTCACTTTCACCCACCTCCACTTGGCAGTTAGAGGGAGTTCTGTAAAACACCAATCTGATCACGTGTTCCTGCTTGAAGCCTTTCCGTGTTTCTCCAGCATCCTAAGGACAAGGTTCTAACTGATCCTGAAGGCCTGGTGTGATGTAGCCCCTGACCATCACTCTGCCTGTCTCCCCAACTGTCTAAGCTCCAGACACACAGAACGTGACGTCACCAGCTCTCTCACCGGGGCCTGTGCGTGGCCCCTCCCCCTGCCCCGCCCCCTCCAGTCTAGTCAATCCCGCCCAACCCACACTCCACCCTCGGTCTTCCCACGCAAAAATTTTGAAAGGATCCCAGACATCATCATCTATAAGGACGGTGAACAAAATGTAACCAGTGGTCATTTCTGAGTGTCGGAAGGGGGCAAGGGCCTTTACTTTTAAGAAATTTTTTGCAGTGACTGTTTTCATTGAACACCAACATAACACCAACAGTAGTTGTGGGAGAAAAAGCTAGCAAGGGAGAAAATCCCATCATGTTTGAATTTTAAGAGGAAAAAACATTCAGGAAGCGTCTTATAACTTCAAACATTCTGCAGCGGCAGGAAAAGCGCGGTCTTTCTCTGTGTGCACGGTAACAGTCATCAGGCCAGAATGGAATTGCAAATACCCAGCTAAGGGGATTTTTCTCCTACTGATTTTCACAGTGATTGTAAACACAACTTGTGTAACTTCTCTAAATGGTGTGATGCAAGCGTTTGGAACAACTGTCATATATAACACGGTTTCGTAGGTGTGAAGGAAGGCAACTGAAGTATATCGACCTAGGGAGAATTCTTGTCTTTACTCTGATACCAGGGACTATTGGGACAATGAACTCCATTTAAAGGAAGTAGGAACACATCTGCGTGGAGACACCCTGTGGTTTTGAACCTGGCTGGCATGTGCTTTATCATGACAACTGCCTGCATTTACCTGGCTCCTTCTTCATGCCAGGTGCCTTCCTAAGCCCTTTCCATGCATGAATTCAGTAATCCTCAGCCCTCGGGCAGCTACTGTTGTCATCCCTGGGTTTCCATGAGGTGTGAGAGTTGACATCGGGGACTTCAGGTTCCCTAGCTAGTAAGTGACAGCACCAAGATTCGAACCCAAGAGTTGGAATCTGCCTTGACCCACCTTCCTCCCGGATTCCATTCTTAGAGGATGACCACATTTCTGATCATGCGATTTCTTCTTTTCGGAAGAAGGACTTCAGTGAGCTTCTCCATCTGCTAAAATATTTTTTGACATCCGCAACTATTTATAAAGAACAACACGTTTTTTCGCTTTTAAGGAAAATTTCAAACAAACACAAAAGCGGAGGGAAAGTCTAATGAATGTCCCATCTCTCAGCTTCAACAGTCATGGCCATTCTTGTTCCATCCATATCCTGCACATTTTCTCCCCTGCTCAGTTACTCTACAGTAAATACAAGTATGTTGTATTAAAAGACCTTTTTTAAAGAAAAGGTCACCTACCATTCCTTGCCCCCAGTCCTCCCCCCTTTGGCAAAGTGACCGCCTTCCTGATTCTCTGTTCCCTTTCCCCTTGTTTTCCAAATGCAGACGGATCTGTGTGTGGTGTGCCACTATCACCAGGCTCTGTCCCTGGCTCGTTTCCTGTAACCCTACCCCCAGGCGCTTCTCGAGCCTGAAAACTGTCCCTCTTAGTGACCACGGACAGGCTGGTGTTGTTTGGCCTGCCCAGCCTCTGCAATGGGACATTTAATCTGCTTGTGGCGTTTTGCCATGATAGTGGCCTCTGCCCTTATTTGGGTTATTTTCTGGATGCCCTCTCCACTCAACCCAGGTCAGGACTCCTGAACTTGTACACAGTAACCCCACTTTAAGCACACATCCTTACCACGGTCAGAATGAAACAGGGATTTGGGTCCTTCTCTATTAATTGCCTAGGGGCTCCATGAGGTCAGGAATCAGGTCTGTCCTTGTCCCTGCTGTGTCCCCAGCATCACCGAGCACAGGGCCTGGGATGCAGTAGGTGCTCAGGAGTGGTGATGCACTAATGAATGAATGATTGCCAAGGTCAGTAGCTGAGTGTTTGTCACGAGGGCAACAGGAAGCCACAGAAGTGTTTCAGACAGAACTGGACCCATTTTTCTCAAAACTCAAGTGCGTATGAATCCCCTGGGATCCTGTTAAAATGGAGATCCTGAGTTACTGGGGCTAGGGAGGGCCTGCGATTCTGTACTTCTAGCAAGCTCCCCACTGACGCCAGTGCTTTGGGTAGCAAGGGTCTAGCTGTGCTGCTCAGTGCAGCACGTGGCTGTCGAGCACTTGAAATGTGGCCAGTGTGAACTGAGATGTACCCGCAGTGTAAGATGCCCACCAGATTTCAAAGACTTAGTACAAAAAAAAGAGAATGTAAAATATCTCATTAATAATTTTTATATTGATCACATGTTAATATGGTAATATTTTGGCTATATCAGGTTAAATAAAATAGATTATTAAAATTCATTTCAACTGTTTCTTTTTAACGTGGCTACTAAAAATTTTTTAATTATGTTGTGACTCATAGGTGGGGTTCTCATTATGTTTCTGTTGGATGGTGCTGGTCTAGAACATTCCACACTCCCTCTCACCTCTAAACATTTGCACATGCTCTTTCCACCTTTTGGAGCACCGCTCTTCCTCCTGATCGCCTCTTCACAACTAACTCCATACAGCTTTTGGGTCTCGATGTCTCCTCCTCCAGAAAGCCTTCCTTGACCCCCAGGGTGGGTCAGGTGCCCCTTCTGGGGTTCTACAACTCCGGCTTTCCCCCATCTCAGCCCTGACGGTCTGTGATGTCAGCGTCTCATGTCTGCCTCCCTCTCGAGACAGATAAATCCACGAGGATGCAGACAAAGCCTGTGCTGGTCACCATTTTATCTCCAGAACCTGGCCCAGAATGACTAAATATTTGTTAACGGAATGAAGAAGTGACAAGAAGTGGGCCGTCCTCATGTTACAGCTCTGGAACCGCACTGGGAAGCCAGCTTTAGAGGTCTTGTTTCGATGTGCCCGCCACCTGCACATCTTTCCCGGTTTCCCTGGGGGTGCGGTAGACACATGGTGGGTCTCCTCGGTCCCTCCGTAGAATTGTCCTGCTTCTGCCCCTGAGCTGCCTGGGGCTCCCGTCTTAGCGTGTGTCCTCTGCTGATGGCACAGCTCTGAATGAGGACTCCTTTGTTAATTCACACAAGCTGTTGCTGGTACGACACAAATTTTGATAACGATTTCCCCCAGTCTGAGATTTCTTTTTCTCTTATTTGCACAGAAACATTACCTTTAGGGGCGCCTGGGTGGCTCAGTCGGTTAAGCTTCCGACTTCATTTAGGCTCAGGTCATGATCTCACGATTTGTGGGATTGAGCCCCGCCTCTCTGCAATGACAGCACAGAGCCTACTTGGGATTCTCTCTCTCTCGCTCTCTGTCTGCCCCTCTCCTGCTCGCATACACCCTTTCTTTCTCTCTCCCTCCCTCCCTCTCTCTCTTTCTCTCTCTCTCCCTCTCTCTCTTCCTCTCAAAATAAATAAATAAACTTAAAAAAAAAAAGGAACATTGCTTTTAAAAAGTGGTCATTAAGAAATTGTTGGTCTTCTCCTTTGAGACTCTTCTATGCTTCACTAGTTTTGTAATTAATTTGATACAAAGAGATGCTCCACTTCATAAGTAATCAGAGGAAGACCAACAAAGATGGCACTGAGGTCATCTTCCTCCCAGTCCAGCCTGCTTGTTCATGTGTCCTCGCTGCAGGCCCCCCACTGTCAGCGTTGCCCTGGACTTGGTTGCCACACTCTCCCCGCCCCCATCCATCACATCCCTGCTTTGTCATCCCCACCCTGCCCATGTCCCTACCCATCCTAGACTCAAAATTATAATCACTAATGGGGTGCCTGGGTGGCTCAGTCGGTTGGGCGTCCGACTTCAGCTCAGGTCATGACCCCACGGTTCACGGTTCATGAGTTCGAGCCCCGTGTCAGGCTCTGTGCTGACGGCTCGGAGCCTGGAGCCTGCTTCAGATTCTGTGTCTCCCTCTCTCTCTGTTCCTCCCCTGCCTGCACTCTGTCTCTGTCTCTGTCTCTCTCTCTCAAAAACAAATAAAGATTTTTTAAAAATTAAAATTAAAAAATTATAATCACTAAGTTCCCTTCTTCCTCTATCTTGACCCCACCCAGCTGACCAAAGCCAGCCGGTAATTGTAGAAACACCTAGAGGGGAAAAGAGAGGGCCACACTGAGATTCTATTTTATGTCTTCAAATGAGCAAAACTTCAGATGACTGTAGGTGACAATGGGGATTAGCAGGGCACCTCATGCACTCCAGGTGAAGGAGGAAGTCAGTGCAACCATCTGAAGAATCATTTGGTATTTGAAAAATTCAGCCATGTTGAAGCTTTGAGTCCCTTATACTCAGCATCTCCATTCCTGGATACTTAACGAGAAGAAACGTGAGCATGCGCGCTGGGTGAGGCGTCCCAACAATGTTTGTAGTGATTCACCAACAGCAAATTGGAAACAAACCTGACGTCCATTAAAAGGAGAATGGTTAGGGGCGCCTGGGACGTCCATTAAAAGGAGAATGGTTAGGGGCGCCTGGGTGGCCCAGTTGGTTAAGCGTCCGACTCTTGATTTCAGCTCAGGTCATGATCTCATGGTTGTGAGATGAACCCCGTGTCAGACTCCACACTAAGCATGGAGCCTGCTTGAGATTCTCCCTCTCTCTCTCTCTCTCTCTCAGAATGAATAAATGAATAAATAATTAATAAAATACATGAGAATGGATGAATTGTGGTATATTCGCACAGAAGAGTATAATGTAGCAGGACAGACCTACAAAGGCATGAGGATAACATTGAGTGAATAGACCCCCACCAAAGAACTTTGCTTGCTTGTTTTTTTTGGGTTTTTTTGTTTTGTTTTGTTTTGTTTTTTTTATTTACATCCAAGTTAGTTAGCCCATAGTGCAACAATGATTTCAGGAGTAGATTCTTTAGTGCCCCTTACCCATTTAGCCCATCCCTGCTCCCACAAACCCTCTGTTTGTGCTCCATATTTAAGAGTCTCTTATGTTTTGTCCCCCTCCCTGTTTTTATATTAGTTTCCCTTCCCTTATGTTCATCT